ATCACCCCTGGGGACAGCAAACAGGGACAGCAAACAGGGACATCAACAGGGATTGCTCTGGGGGACACCAATGAATCCCACTGCCACCCCTGGGGACAGAAACAGCACAGGGACATCAACAGGGATTGCTCTGGGGGACACCAGCACATCCCACTGCCACCCCTGGGGACAGCAAACAGGGACATCAACAGAGATTGCTCTGGGGGACACCAATGAATCCCACTGTCACCCCTGGGGACAGCAAACAGGGACACCAGCTCTAAACACCATGGATTGCTCTGGGGGACACCAATGAATCCCACTGCCACCCCTGGGGACAGCAAACAGGGACATCAACAGGGATTGCTCTGGGGGACACCAATGAATCCCATTGTCACCCCTGGGGACAGCAAACAGGACAGGGACAGCAGCTATAAAAACCATGGATTACTCTGGGACACACCAGCAAATCCCACCCTCACCCCTGGGGACAACAACAGGGACATCAGTATTGAACAGGGATTGCTCTGGGGGACACCAAAGCCCACTGTCACCCCTGGGGACAGCAAACAGCACAGGGACATGAGCTCTAAACACCAGGGATTGCTCTGGAGGACACCAATAAATCCCACTGTCACCCCTGGGGACAGCAAAAAGGACAGGGACAGCAGCTCTAAAAACCATGGATTACCCCGGGACACACCAGGAAATCCCACCCTCACCCCTGGGGACAGCAAACAGGGACATCAGTATTGAACAGGGATTGCTCTGGGGGACACCAGCACATCCCATTGTCACCCCTGGGGACAGCAAACAGGGACACCAGCTCTAAAATCCATGGATTGCTCTGGGGGACACCAATGAATCCCACTGCCACCCCTGGGGACAGCAAACAGGGACATCAACAGGGATTGCTCTGGGGGACAACACATCCCATTGTCACCCCGGGGGACAGCAAACAGGGACACCAGCTCTAAACACCATGGACTGCTCTGGGGGACACCAGCACATCCCACTGTCACCCCTGGGGACAGCAAGAGGCCAGGCCAGCAGCACTGAGCCAAAGAGAACCTCTCCCCCTGCATTTCCCAGCCCAGCACACACACAGTGAGAAGTTCCCCCCTGGCCCTGCC